TGGGGTGGGTGTTTCTTTTTGTGTGTGTTGCTGTTATCAATATGCTGTTAACAATTAGTACCAAATTCTGATGCTAAGTTGCAAAGGTGTGGGATAGCGGTGTGTCTGCAGCTCTTGTAGCTGACTTGGCTGAAATGACATACACGGTGCCTTTGATGAGCATTGAGCAGACGTGTATGTAGGTCACTCCAGAAGTAATGCTTCTGTCAAAACTGAAAGAAGGAGCACGATAACACAGTTTGACAGAGCAAATTCTCAGCTACGAAACACTTTGCTTCCTCACCCTCGAAGAAGGGACAGTTTTGGAGCTGCCTGGGAGTCAAGGACTTGGATCAGCCAAAGCTGCCCTGCATCAAGACATAAATCACAGCCTGGGGAAACGTTCATCATAAGCTTTCACAGCCTCCTTTACTGATTTGTTCTGAAGTGTCCTGAACCAGCCTTGCAAATAGCTGGTATTAGGGAATATTAGGGAATATACCTCCCCTTAAATTTTCTTCTCTAATTTTGAGTCCATTCAATTAATTCTTAGCAAAGCTGAAGTTACATTTGCCAGTAATGGGTAAATGGGTCTATACAGAGTACAGTGTGCTTGGGAGAGTGCATCACTGCTAATGAGAGTGACTCTGCCTGGGGTCTGGATCTATGGGTTTGTAGCCCTGTAACCCATCCTGCATGTAGGGGATAACACTCAAACTTGAGACAGATGCACAGCTTTGGAGTAAGCAGAGGCTGAGGAACCTTTGATGTGTCTTATGATGATCTGTGAGTTCTTTCTTCTAAATAGATGTCTGTATAGACTTTGCTTTCACCAGGATGAGCAGCTGTTCAGTAAGTAAAAGGCATTGGTCATCTTTTGTCACCACAGGTATGGAGGCTTTACTGATAGGCTTAGTCGCTGCTCCAATTTGTACCTCTACCTGTTGTTCTTAAGCCAAATGGTTGCTCTTGTTCTTTCCTTTTTTCTTTTTTATTATGACCAATAATGGAATATGACCACGATTCTGTTGCTGATCATTACCTTTTACAAACTGAAAATTTCAAAGCTACAAAGAGTAAGTAATAAGTGTACACTGATACTCTTTGCAGTTACTGATACCTCAGGTCACTGTTGTACCACACAGAAGGAGCAAGAAAAATAACTTACAAATCCATAAGGCAAATCCTTATAAGTATGATTTTGAAACTTGCTTCAGGCTTTACCATTACTTACGTGAAACTATTTGAGAAGCAGACTGACTGGCCATTCTGTAGACTTTGTAAAGAAATCAGACCAATGGTACCAGTAAGAATTGTCATCATAGGTACAACACCAGCTGCCAGACAAAAATTTGCTTATCTTGTAGAACTGACATTAAATACATGAAATAACATGTATTTTAAAAAATAATGACCTTGTCACAATTTGAGTAAATAGAATACTGTGTAATCTGCCTGCACAATGTCCTCATCTATTTGTTCATGCATTAATTACAGTATTAAAACAGACAACCATCAGATTTTTCAAGAGACTGATAAACAAGATCCTTTTTATTTTAAATTGTAGCAATAATGAACTTACCAAACATGATGTTCACAGCAGTGTTCCATCATGTTTTCCTGGCTCATTGCCCTTTAGTTCTACTCCAAGCTGAAATACATCCTTCTTTGACAAAGCAGTTTCCCCAGGTATTTGATGGTTCCTTGACTGATTTTGTTTTCTGGATTTCAAAAATCTTCTAAATTTCCACTTCTCAAGTCTGTAACACTTCTTAGTGCAAATGATCACCTTGTGAGCAGTACTTCTGTAACTGAAGCGGATTGAGAAGAGAAAGTCCAGCTAGATTAACTATGAACTTCTGTCACCCTAATCTGCTAACTCTGCATTTGAGTGCTTAACAGCTGCATGCATGCAAGATTTGTCATGAAGAATACTCTTCACTATTGAAATGTTATGCTTGTGATGTTATTCCATCGGTGGTATCGTCTGAGGCAGCTGGTAATTTGGTGCATGAGCATCTATCTTCTTATCTAGATCATGTGTGGTTCCCTCTCCCAGTTAAGTCCTTTAGAAAAGCACAGTAGTTTAGGAGCATCACTGTGCTTTTTTTTTTGACTGTATCCTTCTAAGTTTGCTAGTGAGTTCCTTGGTTTGAAAAATATTACATTCTTCAATCAGTGAGAATGCGGTGCAAACTTCTGGCATTTAAGATTCTTTACAGTATCTATTACTTTTTTTCTAATAAATCCTTAGTAGGATTTCTATTTTTGTGAGGTTGTTTCAAATCCCAGCTGCATGTTTTCAATAAAGAATTGAGAATCGTGGTATAGAATTGAGTTGGAAGGGACCCTTAAAAATCATCTGGTCCAAGTCCCCTGCAGTGAACACCTACAGCTACATCAGGCTGCCCAGAGCTCCCTCCAGCCTGGCCTTGAAAGTCTCCAGGGTCAGGGCTTCTACCACCTCTTTGGGCAACCTCTGCCAGTGCCTCACCACCCTTACCGTTATACAAAACACAACCTTTTCCTTATATCTAGTCTCAATCTCTTTTAATTTGAAACCATTTTTCCTTGTCCTATCACTACAGACCCTCATAAAGAGTCTGTCCCCTTTCTTCTTATAGCCCCCTTTTAGTACTTGGGTCCCTCCAGAACCTATCCAGGCAGATCAGCCCCAGTTCTTTCAGCCTGTCCTCATAGGAGAGGCTGAACGAAAGAAAATGATCCATCTCCTGGATCATTTTTGTGGCCCTCCTCTGGATGCAGGTTAATGTCTCTCCTGTACTGAAGACTCCACCTCTGGATGCAGTATCCCAGGTGATGCCTCACCAACACGGAGTGGAGGGGCAGGATCACCTCCCTTACCTGCTGGCCATGCTTCTTTGGATGCAGCTCAGAGTACAGTTGGCTTTCTGGGCTGTGAGGGCTCGCTGCTCGTTCGTGTCCAGCTCACCTTCCACCAGCACTCCTAAGTTCTTTTTGGCAGGTCTGTGCTCCACCTTTACATCCCCCAACTTGTAGTGGGGGTTGCCACAATCCAGGTGCAAGACCTGCACTTGGATTGGCTGAACTTCATGACATTCACCCGAGCCCACTGCTCAAGCCTGTCTAGGTCTCTCTAGACCTGAGAGCCAGGGTGCCTGTACCCATCCGAAAGGATGTAGAAACACCAACTGAACTCCTAGGCAAATGTGTAGCTGTCCTGGCCTCCTGCTGCAGAGAGTGTCTGAGCCTTTCATGGGCAGACCTGGGGCACAGAAGCACTGCACCTCATCTCTGCCAAGCTGTAGATCTGGTAGCCCCAGGGGGCTGCTGTTAACCCAGTAATGAAAATGCACATCAGAAGATACAGTACCTCAGGAAGAGAACCGCAAATAAAACTTGGAAAAGAGGCATAATGATAACATTGACTGCAGAGTAATAGCACAATATTATTATACGATATACAATAATAGTATTATTGTATTCTGGTTGTGACAGAAATTACCTAACCACCGAAGGAGGAAATACAGATGTTTTCATGAACTATAAAAATCACCAAGTGTGTGAAATTCCCACATGCTGTTGCCTGGCTTCGAAAATGAAACTGTGTTTATTGCAGCAGTGAATGTGGGGTATATAAATGTTTCCCAGTGGTTTTCAAAGCTGTTCCTTAAAGCTGGAAGTGAAAGATAACTGCATTGCTGTTTTTCTGGCTCATAAATTCTGCTGACATCAAATTTGTTCAGTGAGAGAAAACACTTTGAAAGAAGTTCTCTATCCAGGGATGTGTGTATTACCCTAAGAAATAACTTACTGTCTCCTGTTTTATATGACAACACATGCATACACACACACACAAAATTTTCAACAAATGTGCATCTGAAGGCATATGAAAAACATGCTAACTCTCCAGTTGTAATAGCAAATAGCATGCTGAACACTTCACGCAAGTTCATTTAAAATTCTCTCTTTTCATTGTTTTCCCAAATTCTGGGAGTAGAGAGGTAGAGGTTCAGCTTCTTCAGCAACCAGAGTAGGGGCTGCATCATTGTGGTGGTGTCAGAGAGAAAGGGCCGATGTAGGATCTTTCACAAGAGATGGTTAACGCACCCAGGTCTGTGATTCACATATGAATTCAGCAATCTCAAAGCTCATTGTACTTTTAATGTTACATCTTCTTGATGTATTTCTTTTTCTTTTTGACGTAGAGACTTTGTGCTTAACTTCTTATTAATAAACTTATAAACTTCTTATTTCACCTCTCAAAAAGAAGAGCAGGGAGCCTACAGGAAAGCTGGGGAGGGACTCTCTTTAGAGAATGTAGTAACAAAGAGTAATGACTTTAAGTTGAAAGATAGTAGATTTGAATTAGATACAAGGAGGAAATTCTTTCCCCAGAGGGTGGTAAGGTGCCCAGAGAAGCTGTGGTGCCCCCATCCTGGAGGCGCTCAAGGCCAGGCTGGATGGGGCCCTGGGCAGCCTGAGCTGGTGGGGGGCAGCCCTGCCCATGGCAGGGGTTGGGGTGGGGGGCTTGGAGGTCCCTTTCAGCCCAAACCATTCTGTGAATGTTGCATTTATTATGGAGGAAATATTATTTTTTAAGAAATATTTTACTATTTATTTATTTTTATTTATTTATGTTGTTTGTTTCCTCCTAATTTTCTCACATTGCCTGGTAGGACTGCATGGCTATTCCCAGTCTTTGTACCAAAGACCAAATGCACAGCTTGACAGATAAAGAGTTTTTATCTCATGTTTTCCTGATGTTGTTATCTGTCTGAAGAACTCAAATAATCTGCACTCGAAAGTGTTTCTTTGCACTATGTCGAGTTTGTATGAATGGCCAACAAACCTCTACAAAGGAGAATCTTCAGGATACGGGCAAGGAAAATGTGCTTTTGAAGCTCAAGTGTAAACTATAGGGAGTGACCACATCTGTTGTAAAGGAAGACGAACTTAGCACCAGGGGGACCGGAAGGTGGCTTGTTTTTCCTACATAGATAAGTATCTCTGTCAGTTGAGTTAGTCATAGGCTGTGTGAATAGCCTCACTCGAGTTCACCAGAAGAGCATGAATGTCTTTACGGGACAGCCAGACCAGCACGGGCCAAGTGGCTACGTGGTTCAACCCAACACTGAGTGCAGAAGCCAAGCAATCTGCAAAATTAACTTGGAAGAAAGCAACAGGCTTGAGCTGGCTTCAAGCAACATGCTCCTTCCTGGCAATTAGGATGCCTGACATCCTGACAATGAGTGTATAAAGTCAGTAATGGGAATCATGTTTTTACTGTCACTCATCTGTACTGCAATTGCAGTATTGAGTGGTGATTTCAGTAAGTTTATCTGCTACATCAAGATCCTCTGTTTCATCAAATACCTTCAAGCAGGTAAAATGCATATTGAAACATTAAGCCCTCCTCATGTGGACTATCTGAAAAGGCCTGGCCAGAGAGTGCTGGGCTCTGGCAGCTTGCCACTTCTCTCCCCGTGGGGCTGCTAGCTGTGGGGCTGTTTGTTGCCTCAGCACAAACAAATCCCCCTCCTGATCAGAGCTGACGGGTTACTTACTAAACAAAAATACAGGGAAGGAGAGATCAGCTGAAAGAATTAGAGTTGACTGTTGCTGCACACAACAGATTTTTGGATCTGCTTTTAATATTAATTTGCAATAAATTGCAATTTAAATACCTTATTTTGACTCTCTCTTTCATCACCTTGACTGTAGTTTCTTCATTTTTTCCCCCTACCTGAATGGGTACAGACTCAACCAAATTAGTTTTCTGATAGTTTAGGGTTTATGTTTCTCAGGCATTGACAACATAAACATTCTGCGAAGAGGTAAAACAGATTTCAGATGTATTCTTATGCAAAGTGGTGATGAAGGTGCAGTGCATACCTTCTAGTCTTCACAAGATCTATAGAATCAATCACTGTTGTTGGAAAATACCATTACAATCATCTGATCCATCGTCACTGTGCCCACTAACCATGGGCCTATGTTTGTGAACAAATTGGTTCATGTATAAGGGCTCATTTACTGGTAAAAGGAGAACCAGAATAGTGCCATGAACAACTGGCAGAAAAACTGTTTGGACAGGTTCTGCAGCACTGGCTTTGGCTGTTTGGTGCATCTGAGGTTACTGCCCCCACAGCTGGTTGGGAATCCAGATAAGGTCAACCTACAGTACTGCCAAAGAAACAAAGTGTTAGGACGTGGCATCTTCTTTGCCAGCTCCTGTCACTTCTGAAATGGCCATCTGAGCACGCATTCCCCAGATCACTGAGAGGCAGGAGACCATGCTGAGCTCTGCAGGAAGTGCTTTGCCCCTTCCGTGGAAGGAAACAATGGGAAGACTGAAAAAATGGAAAGCAACAGGTAAGGAAGGGAGGTGCAGATGAAGAAATGGGGATGGCATTGCTTGTTTAAGTAAATGTAGTGATATTAAGGGTAACATCTCACCTGAGCTTGAATAGCTGCACAACAGATGTCTACATCTGAGCTACTCATTTTGGGTCCTCTTTTAAAATGGAGAGGAGCAGGCACAGGAATGGGATCCATCTAGTCTATGTTAGCCTCCTGTAAAACAACACTTATTTCACCCCAAAAGCGCCTCTTTCCCTTTGCAAGCAGAAAAACAAACCACCTACTTCTAATGAGATGATGAATTCTACCTTATGACCAAATTTAAATTCCAGCTATTGTAGGCTACTTCTTCAAAGACGGTAGCAGTGAAATGCTGTGATCGATTGGCATTCGATGCAGGGCTGTGAATGGGGAGCAGAGTGAGGTGGTAATATTGGGGGCGTTTAGTTAACTTCTGGTGCTGGATTTGTGTTTGTAGTCACCTAAAGCTTAAATTCAGCCACTTCTTATGGATGCGGTAATGATGATTAGTTTACCCCTGAATGTGTCAGAGCAAAGAAATAATAACAGCGTAATACCAAACTCCTTTACTTGCCATTGCCCTCCTGTATGAACAGTCACCTCAGGCAGGAGGTGATGTTTCTTCCTGTAATCAATTCAAATATAGATTTACTGTGAAAAATGGGGAAAATAAGTTTAGAAACTGCTATCTTTCTGTTTTGTTATTCCTTCTGGAATAATAAAAAGTAGTTATCTGCCTGCCTCTCATTTTTAAGCAATATTGAAGAAAGAGCACTCTTGGCTGCCTCTTCTCTGTCACTCCACACCCACTGTATGCTGAAGACACAGAAAGGACCTGTCAGAAATACATTCTGCTTTGCTCTCCTTCAGAGGCACTGCATTCTACAAGCAAATTATTCTACATGGTTAACTCAAGCTTTGTAAATGTTAAAAAATAAATAAATAAAAGAGGAGGGCCGTGAAGATGATTAGAGGGCTGAAGCACCTTCCCTACAAAGACAGGCTGAAGGAAATGGGGCTCTTCAGTCTGAAGAAGAGAAGGCTCTGGGGAGGGAGTTCTTACAAGGGTATGTAGTGACAGGATGAGGAAATACTTTTTAACTGGAAGAGGGTAGATTTAGACTAGATAATAGGAAGAAATTCTTTACTGTGAGAATGGTGAGACATGTTGCCCAATGAGGCTGTGGATGCCCCATCTCTGGAAGCATTCAAGGCCAGGCTGGATGCGGCTCTGAGCAACCTGGTCTAGAGGGAAGTGTCCCTTCTATAGCAAGTGGTTGGAACTAGATGATCTTAAAGGCCCCTTCCAACCCAAACCATTCTATGATTCTATGAAGTGGCAGGCAAGCTGAGCTCGTAGTGAGAGGAGAGCAGCTCCTCTGTCTTGATTTAGTAGATTGTAGACTTTGATCTTTGGCTTTCCACTAACTGAAAAAATCAGAAATGGAAAGTCCTTGTCAGATGAAGGCACGATGTATGCTGTCCAGTGATTCACAGCATCACTGGAAACTTCATGAACCTTTGGTGACCAAACGTGCAACGCTGATTCTTATCACTGCCAACAGGTGTGCTAATTGCACTCAAGCTGCATGACTCAGTTTTGCCTCTCAGCTCTGAGTGGGCTAACCTGCTGATGAAAGCCCAGATAATCCTTTGATATGTACCTCTTAGCGATCATGTTACATTTGTTCTCACCTTGCAGTAGTACAGAATTTCTAACAGGTTCATCACAAGGCCCTCTTCAAGGATTTCAACCATGTCCTACAAAGCAGCTCTATTGTCACGTGTTGAAATGATGGCCCTCACCTTCCAGGAGCAGGAGAACAAGGAGAAGAAGCTGAGAGCACGACGCCTGTGGATATGGGAGCAATTACAACTTAATGTACATTCATCTTTATCGCTACAACAGCTTGTGTAAGCAACAACAGTAGAAATTAATCTGCAGTGATGATGGTGCAGGGCACTTCTTGCAGCACATAATGTTTTGGTATTGTTTTTTGCCTTCCAGTTTTCATAATTATTGTGTTTTTGTTCAACTGCAGTTAATTCAGTGAATTTAACAAAGAAAAGCTACCTATAAGGAAAAAATCATGGTACAACTCACAAGATGGATAATCAAAGCTGTTCTGTTTTCATCTGACAGCACCATATGGATGAGCAGGCTGTTTGGCATGGCAGAGGGCTGTGTGTGTATGCACAGACACAACAGATAACTAACTTACGGCAAGCTTGTAGCTCATCCCTGGGGAGCTGCACACTCACATACTTACATGTATTAAAATAATAAGAAATGCATTATGGTGGTGAACCTATCAACAGCTGTAGTCACATACTGTATTATAACCATAATTAGTCTTGCTTTGTCTGCTTGACCAAACATACTTTTATATTTTTATCTACTTTTGCATGGAACAAAAAACATGTTTAAGGATTATTTATATTTGCTTTTTTAATATTATCTTTATGTTAAATCTTATAGCTATGTAATTCGCCGCATTGTGGTGAAGCTCTTAAAAACTGCAAACTGGCCCTAAGTAATTGAGACAACAGTTAAAAGAAAGATCCCAGAGCAGTAGGAGGGATTCTAACACAAAATTAGAAGCAATTCATGTGTTTCCTCTGTAATGGTCTCTTCTGTTCAGTAAAAAAGTGTCTGGCCTACTGAAGGTAACCTCCTTTGTTTCCACCCATGTTCGAATGCTAAGAGCACCAAGGCAGTGGGTGGTCAGCTCCAGTTTGATGATAGCATCACTCAGGGAACAGTTATCACCAATTTGTGCATTACCATCTGCTCTAACTTTTCCAAGTGCCCAGATATATGCTAAAACATCCAGAAAACCACAGTGGTCCAGAATACCAGGAAAGCTTCCCTTTCCCTTTCCCACAGCTCAGCCTTCCAGCAGTCCTGAGCTAGGATAACAATTACTTTTCTAATAAAACAAGAGAACAGCTTTTGAGAAGCTATAGAGCTGGCCTCCATCAGACTGGCACAGAAGCCATCAGTCCTCTCAGCCAGCTGAGCACAACTGCTCTTTCCACGTAAGGAGCACAACCACAGAGGCCCCTTTTGGGCAGTTTTGGAGGAATGCCAGCCAAGGCACCATGGAGGAAAACATCATCATTGTTTTCTTGATTGATCCTACAAAGCAAAACCAAACTGACAATAAAATACAATCTTCACTATTAGTACTAATTATTAAACAACTGGTGAAGGATGTAATTGTAACCAAGTCATAGTATTAATATTAGTAAATTACTGCTGAATATGCTGGCTGGTCCTTATCAGTTTGAAAGAAATTTAGATAGGCAAATGGAAAGTCCTAAACACTGCTGAAGAGCCATGTAAAAGTTGTTTGCCATCAGTACATTTGAGCTGAGTTCATTGGAGCTCCGTGTCTGCAGCTTCAGCACCAAACCCACATCAGCGTTTTTCATGCTGAAAAATAACCTCCTGCACAAAACTGCTGTCAGTAGAAGTTCTCAGGATGAGTTACAAGGACAGCGTTTCAAAACCCAAATACAATGAAAAAAGAGTTCCCTTCCTCCAAAATGTCTACCGGACATACCATCAGTGCTGCTGCCCCAAATTAGAGTGTCTGGGGAAATGAATGGCAATCTCTTTTCATGTTTATGAAACTGGGAGGTATAGATAATGACTTCATAGCTAACACGTACCTCAGAAACCTCAAATGTTATTATATCCCCTGATTTCTCTATACCCACTGTAAATGTAAACCATGTCTGCAATGAAATCTACATTGAAGAGAGTACCAAATCCAGATGTGAAACTAAGAACTCTGTGACGTGCCATTGGAGAAGGCAGCTCTAGAGCATAAGGTTGTGCTCAGGCCATTCCTCATTGTGAAGAGACAGAGGGAGTTGCTTTCATAGCCTTGATTCAGCCAAGCACCCGAGTGTCCACCTGTGCAGGCACGATATCCCAGAAGAAGGCCAAGTTTGGGTAGACACAATCAGCTCAATGGCAGAATCTACAGCTAGCCAGCACACCAGCAACTGTGTGCCAGCAGTTACAGATAGGCACTGCCATAGGGAACTGACCTTGAGCTGTTTGATATGTTGGAGAAGCTGGAGACAAGCTCTCACTGGTTTATCAAGTCATCTGATGATATCTGAATTTGTCACTTTATTGTAACTGTGCAAAACAGTGCAAATCAACTTAATGAATTTAGAATACTTATCAGCTACTATTGCAGACCTATGACAGTCCTTAATATACTTTACAGGAATACTTACGAGAGCCTGTTAACTGCAGCGTTCAGAGGGGGCCCAACATGCCTTCTTCAAACATGCAAATTATAGTGTTTAAAGAGATTTCAGTGTACAGGACAAAAAGATATTTGATTGGAAAACACAGTTTTAAGTTGAGAAGTTAATTTGATTTTACAGCAATGTATGGAATAAATCGGCTCCAACACTAGTGCAATTTCTTATTTCCAATTCTAAGCTACTTTTGAATAATAGAAGATCAGTGAAGAGTGTTAAAGGAATGATCTCTTTAGAGTTCATGTACACCCTTCAGATGCCTTTCAGTGAGAAATAGCATTTCCATGTTTGCATCTTCCAGAGATACACACTTTTAAATCTATTTGTGATATCTGGTGACTTTAAGCTTTGAGAAAGGCACTATATACACAAATCCTGACACAACAGAGTACAAGCAGCAAATTCTTGTGCTGAAATACGGGGGTGACTTTATCTAGTAAACATAATGACAAAGCATTTAGAACATTTAGAACAAGATTGAACGTCACAAAAGACAATACTTAGTGATCCATCTATTTTCTTCTTCTTCCCATCCAAAATAATAAATGTTTAAATAGTCCTACCTGAAGGCCTAGTATTTCTAGGAAATACAGAAATGATCACATCTTTCAAAAATCATCAGAAATCAACCTGTAAAGATAAACATTTCTCCAGGTTTTTGATGGGGGTGGGGGAGGAGTGGGGAAGATGGTTGTATGAGATACCAAATAGTTATATGATTAAGGGAGAAGTATTACTATTTTCTCCAAAAAGAAAGCAAAAAGATCTTCATGACAGGTTCTATGTAAAATAAAGAAAATAGACAATAGAAGAGCATAAATGATGCTCTGGTTGCCTTCCAAGTTTGCTGTAACTCTTCCTCTTCTGCTGCTGCCCATGGAATTATTTAAGCAGGTGCTCAGCATGGCCCCTTTTTATATTTTCCTATCTTCAGAGAATGTTCAAATGCAATTAATTTATTTTTCCTCAAATGAAGCCTCCAAGCCACATTCCATTGCCATTAACTAGGACACCAAAAACTGAAATAAAAACAACAGAATAAATCATAGGTCCAATACTATTTTAAAAATTCTCATCTTTTACCTGGTAAAAAGAAGGAAATTGGAGCAAAGCAGCCGTGGTGATTCTCTCTTTTTTTTTTTTTTTTTTTTTTGGCTTAATCTCCATGAATCCCCAAAATAACAGAAAACTAATTCAGCTGATTTGGGTTTGCTCTAGTCCCAGGATGCAGCTGGAGCCATTCAATCACACCTTCCCAGGTACAGCTGGGCACTGGTAGGGTTTGGCACTCTACTATCCTCTCCTAGCACATTCCGATTAACTATATTCATGCACCCAGAATTTTGAGTAAATATAATACAGAACATAAAGGCTTACATTTTAAATTCCCTTAAGAATACTTTTTTTCTTTTTTTCCCAGCACAGGCATTTAACCTACACTGGGAAAAAAAATGGTTATCTGGAGAAAGTAATCCTAATGTTGGTAGGCTGCTAAAACTGAAAGGAAATGAAGTTGTAAAGTAGCACTACACAGAAGGATTAATTCGGGGATTTCCTTATTCTTTATGTTCTACTGTACATTTAATATTTAGAGAAGATACCCTCTTCTCTATGAAGCTACAGACAATGTAAGAGAAAATAAGAAAAAATGAAGAAAAGCTGAACAAACTGAAGAAAAAAATGCAGTCCTAAAGCTGAAAGGGCAATGAAGAACTGGCACCAACATGAATTTGAGCTGCTGAAGGAGAGAAAAATAACCTGTGTATTCTAACAAAAACTTAAAGTGTAAGGCTGGCAGGCAATATGATATAAGTGAGAAGTCAAATAAATATTGCACAGTGGTGCAGTAATTGTTTTGGCTTAGCCAATTGGATAGATGGAATAAAAACAACGTCCCAAATTCAGCCTTCTTCCTTAACTTCACACAAAATGAAGATGCATCTGATTGCCAATACCAGCAGGAATAAAGTAGTTATGCACACTGTTGTCCACCCAGAGGCTGGCCTAACCACCTACTAAGTTATTTCCTTACTAAACACTACACTACTGCTCATGTTTGTTTATACCAGACTCCTACATGTATATGTCATGGGTTTAACATCAAATGGTAAAAATGATGGTCATAAGTCAGCTAACAGTAGGATGTTGGTTAATAATCAACTAAAAAAAGCTAAAATAAGCTAAAACAGAAGATAACGAAGTATTGTTTTATGGTAGAAATAAAACTTTTTAGAAGGGTTGTGTGTAAACACTCACAGGCAGTAATAGAAACTTCAGATTTTTTGCTAGGCACTTGAAACCGTTCTTTCTTATGTACGATGTGGAACTAATGGCTTTCCAAAAATAAACAGTTGCAATGACTGTGAGTAACAAATACTTCGCTTCTGAGGATGGCAGAAGTCCTTAGATCTTCAGGGTTGCTCTATCTAATTCAGTAATGACCTGCAAGTGCCTTTCAAAAGAGGCATAAAAATCAATACTGAGTCACAGAAACTTTCTGGTACCTTTCCCATTATTGATTAAACTCTTTTTAGAATTTAAGGCAATTTATTACTTTTTCAAAC